TGTTTCCTTTTCCTTTTTTCTTTTTTTTCTTTTTCCATTTATTTTATTGCATTTTAGGTTTTGGGGTACACATGAAGAACATGCAAGACTGTTGCATCGGTACACACGTGGCAGTGTGATTTGCTGCCTTCCTCCCCATCACCTACATCTGGCATCTCTCCCCTTGCTATCTCTCCCCAACTCCCCACCCCCCACCGTCCCTCCCCTATTTCCCCCAAACAGACCCCAGTGTGTAGTGCTCCCCTCCCTGTGTCCATGTGTTCTCATTGTTCAACACCCACCTATGAGTGAGAACATGCGGTGTTTAATCTTCTGCTCTTCTGTCAGTTTGCTGAGAATGATGGTTTCCAGGTTCATCCATGTCCCTACAAAGGACACAAACTCATTGTTTTTGATGGCTGCATAATATTCCATGGTGTATATGTGTCACATTTTCCCTGTCCAGTCTATCATCAATGGGCATTTGGGATGGTTCCAGGTCTTTGCTATTGTAAACACTGCTGCAATGAACATTCGTGTGCACATGTCCTTATAGTAGAACGATTTATAATCCTTTGGATATATACCCAGTAATGGGATTTCTGGGTCAAATGGAATTTCTATTTCTAGGTCCTTGAGGAATCGCCACAGTGTTTCCTTTTCTTTGCAATATTGCCAGCATTCTTTTTTTCTTTTTACTTTTTAGCAATAGCCATTCTGACTGGTGTGAGATGGCATTTCTTTGTGTATTTAATTTGCATCTCTCTAATGATTAGTGATGTTGAGTATTTTCTCATATGCTTGTTGGCCATATGTATATCTTTTTAGAAGTGTCTGTTCATATCCTTTGCCTATTTTTTATGTGCTTGTTTGTCTTTTGCTTGTTGATTTGTTTAAGTTCCTTATAGATTCTAGATACTAGATTTTGTCACATGTGTAGTTTGTAAATATATTCTATTCTGTAGGTTGTCTGTTTACTATATTGAAAGGTTGTTTATTTTGGTTTTGTTTTTTGGTTTTTTTTGCTGTGCAAAACCTCTTTAATTTAATTAGATCCCATTTATCAATTTTTGGTTTTGTTGCCATTGCTTTTGGCATTTTCTTCATGAAATGTTTGCCAGGCCCTGTGTCCAGAAGTGTATTTCCTAGGTTATCTTCCCTGGTTTTTATAGTTTTAGGTTTTACATTTAAGTTTTTAATTTATCTTGAGTTGACCTTTGTATATGGTGTAGGAAGGGGCCCAGTTTCAGTCTGCTGCATATGGCTAGTTATCCCAGCACCATTTATTGAATAGGTGATCCTTTACCCATTGCTTGCTTTTGTCAGGTTTGCTGAAGATCAGATGGTTGTAGATGGCTGATCTTATTTCTTAGTTATCTATTCTGTTCCATTGGTCTATGTGTCTGTTTTTGTACCAGTACCATGATGTCTTGGTTACTGTAGCTCTGTAGTGTAGTTTGAAATCAGGTAATGTTATGCTTCCAGGTTTGTGCTTTTTGCTTAGGATTGCCTTGCTTCTACTCAGGCTCTTTTTTCATTCCATATTAATTTTAAAATAGTTTTTTTTTTTTGACACGGAGTCTCACTCTTGTTGCCTAGGCTGGAGTGCAGTGGCACAATCTCAGCTCACCACAACCTCCGCCTCCTGGGTTCAAGCGATTCTCCTGCCTCAGCCTCCTGAGTAGCTGGGATTATAGGCATGTGCCACCATGCCTGGCCAATTTTTATATTTTTGGTAGAGATGGGGTTTTTCCATTTTGGTCAAGTTGGTCTTGAACTCTCGACCTCAGTTGACCCGCCTGCCTCAGCTTCCCAAAGTACTGGGATTACAGGTGTGAGTCACTGCATCCGGCCCTTAAAATAGTTTTTAAAAAATTCTTGGAAGAATGTCATTGATAGTTTGACAGGAATTGTATTGAATGTAAATTACTTAGAACAGCATAGCTATGTTAACAATATTTATTCTATCTATGATCATGGAATGTTGTTTTCATTTTTTGGTATCATCTCCTGATTTCTTTGGGTAGCATTTTGTAATTCTCATTGTAGAAACCTTTCACCTTCCTGAATAGCTGTAGTCCTAGGTATTTTGTTCCTTTTGTGGCTATTGTGTATAGGATTGTGTTCTTCATTTGGCTCTCAGCTTGGATGATGTACGTTAATTTTGTATCCTGAAACTTTCCTGAAGTTGTTTATCAGATCAAGGAACTTATGGGCAGAGACCCTGGGATTTTCTAGGAATAGAGTCATATTGTTTGCAAACAGAGATTTTTTGACTTCTTGTCTTCCTATTTAGATGCCTTTTATTATTTTTTTGTTTTGCCCAATTGTCTAGCTAGGACTTCCAGTACTATATTGAATGGGAGTGGTGACAGAGGACATCATTGTCTTGTTCCAGATTTGTAAAGAAATTCTTCCAGCTTTGGCCCATTCAGTATGATGTTGACTGTAGGTTTTTCATAGATGACTCTTATTATTTTGAACTATGTTCCCTCAATGCCTAGTTTGTTGAGGGTTTTTAATATGAAGTGATGTTGAATTTTATCAAAAGCCTTTTTGTTCTATTGAGATGATCATGTGGTTTTTGTTTTTGTTTATGCGATGAATCACATTTGTTGATTTGTGTATGTTGAACTAATCTTGCATCTCATAAGGAAAGCCTACTTGATTGTGGTTGATAAGCTTTTTAATGTGCTGCTGGATTCTGTTTGCTAGCATTTTGCTGAGGGTTTTTGGGTCTACGTTCATCAAGGGTATTGGCCAGAAGCTTTCTTATTTTGTTATGTCTGTGTGAGGTTTTGATATCACAATGATGCTGGCCTTATAGAATGAGGTAAAAAGCCATGTCCTGTATTAGTCCATTTTCACACTGCTATAAAGAACTGCCTGAGACTGGGGAATTTATAAAGGAAAGAAATGTAATTGATTCACAGGCCAGCATGACTGGGGAGCCCTCAGGGAAGTTACAATCATGGTGGAAGGCAAAGGGGAAGCAAGGCACCTTCTTTGCAAGGTGACAGGAAGGAGAATGATCACAGGAGGAACTACCAAACATTTATAAAACCATCAGAGCTTGTGAGACTTCACTATCATGAGAACAACATAGGGGAAACCCCTCCCATGATTGAATTACCTCCACCTTGTCTCTCCCTTGACACATGGGTATTATGGGGATTATAATTCAAGATTAGATTTGGGTGGGGACACAAAGCCTAACCATATCATTCTGCCCTGGCCCCTCCCAAATCTCATGTCCTCAAATTTCAGAACATAATCATGACTTCCCAACAGTCCCCCAAAGCCTTATCTCATTTCAACATTAACTCAAAATTCTACATTTCAAAGTCTTATCTAAAACAAGGCAAGTCTCTTCCACCTATGAGCCTGTAAAATTAAAAAAAAAAAAAATTAGTTACTTCCTAGATACAATGGCAGTGCAGGCAATTAGTAAATACAACCATTCCAAATGGGAGAAATTTGCCAAAACAAAGAGGCTACAGGCCCCACGCAAGTCCAGAATCCAGCGGGGCAGTCAGATCTTAAAGCTCCATAATGATCTTTTTGATTCCATGTCTCACATCCAGGTCATGCTGATGCAAGAGATGGGTTCCTATGGCCTTGGGAAGCTCTGCACTTGTAGCTTTTTAGGAAACACCCTCCTGGCTGCTTTCATGGGCTATGTTGTCCAGGCTCCGGTCTTCAGTTTTCAGCCACAAGGAATCCTCCTACTTTCCACCCAAAGTGCTATCAGCCTCCATGTCTGGATACTTTACAGTATATTTTGTTTCTCTAGTTCCTCTAGGTGGGACGTAGCTTGTTAAATCTGAGATTTTTCTTACTTTGTGATGTGAGTATTTAGCCCTATAAATTGCCATTTTAACACTGCTTTAGCTGTGTCTTAAAGATTCTGGTATGTTGTGGCTTTTTTTTTCATTAGTTTGAAAGAATTTCTTGATTTCTGCCTTAATTTCATTGTTTACCCAAAAATCATCAGAAATAGGCTATTTATTTTCCCTGTGATTTTGAGTGAAATTTTAGTGTTGATTTCTATTTTTAGTATATTGTGGTCCAGGAGTGTGGTTGGCTTTTTTTTGTGGGTTTTTTTTGTTTGTTTGTTTTGTTTTTTTTAATTTGCTGAGGTTTTCATGGCTGATTGTGTGGTCAGTTTTTGAGTATGCGCCATGTGTAGATGAGAAGAAAGTCTATTCTGGTTTTTTTTTTTTTTTTTTGAGTGAAGTGTTGTATATTTGTCTGTTAGGTCTATTTGGTCAAGTTTACGTTCATGTCTTGAATATCTTTGTTAGTTGTCTGCATCAGTGATCTAATACTGTTCATGGGGTGTTGAACTCTTACACTATTATTGTGTGGTTATTTATGTTTCTTTGTAGGTCTCTAAGAACTTACTTTGTTAATCTGGGTGATCCTGTGTTGGATGCATCTATATTTAGGATAGTTAAGTCTTCTTATTGAATTTAACCCTTTACCATTATGTCATGCTCTCCTTAATCTTTTTTTTTTTAATCTCTGTTGGTTCAAAGTCTGTTTTGTCTGAAATTAGAGTAGGAACTCCTGTTTTTTTTTTTCATTTTCCATTTTCTTGTTAGATTTTTCTGCCTTTTTACTTTGAGCCTATGAGTGTAATTGCATGTGAGATGAGTTTGTTAACAAACCAAGACCATTGGGTTGTCTGTGCCTTTTAATTGGGGTATTTAGCCCATTTACATTCAAAGTTATTATTGCTATGTGTAGATTTGATCCTGTTATCCTGTTGTTAGCTGGTTGTTATGCACACTTGTTTGTGTGTTGGCTTTATAGTGTCAAAGGTCTATGTAATTTTGTGTGTTTTCATGGTGGCTTTATCAGGTTAACTTAGTTACTTTTTTAAATGACTATATCATCTTTTATTTCCTCTATTGTTTTATTGTATTCCCTAGAATTCTTATATTGGGTTTCGACTTTCTACTAAGTCTCAATGATCTTCATTCTTATCCATATTCCAAATTCTATTTCTTTCATTTCAGCCATTTCAGCCTGGATAACAATCATTGTTGGGGAACTACTGAGGTCATTTAGAGGTAAGAAGATACTCTGGTTCTTTGAGTTGCTATAGTTCATGTGCTGGTTCTTTTTTATTTGTGTGAGCTGATATTCCTTAAATCTTTAGTTGCTGTACTTTGGTTGAGGTTTTTTGTTTGTTTTTGCTTTTATCTTTTTTGATGCTCTTGGGTGTTTGATTGTGGTATAAGGTGGGTTCAGTCGATTGGCTCCATTTCTGGAAGATTTTAGAAGGCCATGTCCAGCTCAGCACCCCTGGGCTTCATGCTTTAACTCTGGGGTCTGTTGTCAGCCCCCCAGCTTTGTTCCCTAGCCCCTCAAGGTTAGGAACCTTCTTCACTGTAGGTTACAAGGTGTTCCTGAATCATTGGTTACAGTTCATTGTTGGGGTGGTGGCAGTGGGATTTATGCTCATTTGTATGTGCCAGGAGCAGTGGCTGTGCAGCAGGGTACACATGCATTGGCTGGGGTGGCATACCAGTGACAGCAAGGCTGCTGCATTTAAGTGCATGCCGTAGCCAGCAGTGGTGTTGGTGAAGGCATGGCACTGGTGGGTGTGGGGTTGCTGATCTCCATGTGCATGTTTGGAGCAGCAATATTGGCAGCACCAGGGGTGTCGTTTTCAGCCTTCATGCATATGTTCACATTGGCATTGGTGGCTGCATGGGTGAGGCTTGGTTTCCAACGTTTGTGTGCATGTTTTCACCAGCAATGGCAGCACAACTGGGTTCGCGGAGTGTGTTCAAACCTGCTGGATAGGCATGGTGGGGTGTGTGCATGCAGAGGAGAGGAGGTGAGGTTTATCTGCATTCACATCCATTGGCAAAGCAGTTGGTGGGTGGCTGTGGATGATAGTGTGCTGGAAGTGTAGTGCCGCTGAGGCTGCAGTGGTGGAGAGCATGTAGGTGGCTGGTGTGTGGTGGTGGAGGACACTGTGGTGGAGCTCTGCCGTGGTCAGTTATGGTCTGCCAGTTAAGGAGCTATAATTAAGGCCTTTTGGAAGCACCCTGATTGGGCATCTGAGGCTGCACTACAGGCAGGCATGGCCAAGCTTAGACACTGGGGGAGGCCAACAGACAGGGGTACTCAGGTTACACTGGCTCCATCTTACATACAAGACTCTCCAGCTCTTTCCAGCTTCGACAGTCCCCTTAAGGCTAAAGTCTCCTAGAGAAACATAGCGACCTTTGGAACTTATACATCCCTGGCCATGCTCCACTGCAGGTATTTCCAAACCAGGCCCTCTGGACTCTCCACAGCCTGGAGTCCTACTCCTACCATCTATCTCAATTGCTTTTCCTGCCAGCTGAAGTGTCCATGGGGGTTCTGAGGTTGCCTGATGCCAGGATTCCAGAGGTCCATGGTGAAAATACGCTGCTCCTCACCTGTTCAACTCACCCCTTCCTCAGGAGTTGCTGCAGTCCAGGAACAAGTTCCAGTGCATGGCAGCTCCGAACATGGTTTCCAGCTTCTTTCCCCTTCAGCCCAGCATCTTTGTCCTTGCTACATCCTTTCTCAAGGCCTTAGCTCTGAAGATCTGCTCAGAGTGTACCAGTCTTTCTGATGTCTGTTTCTCAATGGCAGATGTACCTCCTGGCTGCATCTAGTCTCCCATCTTGAATCCAGAATCTCATTGTGGTTTTGATTTATATTTCTGTAATGATTATTGGTGTCAATAATTTTTTATATGTTGGACATTTGTGCGTCTTCTTTTGAACAACGTTTATTCAGAATATTTATTTGCCCATTTTTTAATCAGATGATTTATATTTTTGCATTGAGGTTTTTGGTATCTTTGTATATTCCAGATGTTAGTCACTTGGTGGATTCATAGTTTGCAAATATTTTCTTCCATTGTACAGGTTGTCTCTTCAGTCTGTTGATTGTGGCATGTAGGCTGGGCCTGTTGTTAGGCTTTCTTATTGTGCACATGTGTACCAGTGGAAACAGGCAGACTGGTTGGTTCCCAGGCCCTCAGATAACAGATAGTGTGCTTGGGTGTCAGTGTCAGTGGGCAGGGTGGGCCTATTCTCAGCCCCCTGGACTGTGCCCAGGCAAGCTGGTCCCAGAATTCCTGAATGTACATGTAGACAAAGGGCTTTCTTGCTGCTAGTGGTCAATGGGGTTGCCATCAGTGGTAGCAGCCCTAGGCAGGTGGCTCTTAGGATCTGGGTAATACATACTTTAGCTCTCTATGATCCAGAGGCAGCTGCCCCAGTACACTACTAGAATTCTGAGTATCTGGCTGCATTTCTGGGTCCAGCCAGTGTCATAATGTTGCAGCCCTCTGAGTGGACATGAGGGGATGTCTGCAGGGCTTTTAGGATATGGAGATGGAGCATCAGTTGGGCCCCAGAGCAGGGTGTAGTCTGGTGGGAGTTGTGCTCTCAAAATGGTGCTGTGAAGCAGCTACTTGGGTCCCAGATTTTATGTGGGACCCAGCACACATTCCTCTGGAATAATGCCAAGGTGTGGACTTTAAGTAACTCCCTATACTAAGTCTCAGGGCCTGTAAGGGCTGAGGCTCTCTCTGTGGCTAAGATTACAGGGGTCTGTGGTGGGAGCCTGAACCACAGGGGATCTCTTGCTTTTCTTCCACGTTGGAGAGTTCTTTTTTGCTCTGTATTATTTTGCTTCCCTCTCCTTTCATGCCTTAGAGGTTTCCTGTCACTGCTCTGATAAATTCCAGGATATTCTCTTAAACTCTGCATTTGACATGTGATTATCTACTTGCTGTTTTTGTACTTCTCTGTGGATGAGTTAGGTGCTGGGTGCCTCTAGTAAACCATCTTTGAAAAAAATGTTTTTAAATACGTAAAATACAATGCATTCGACTAAAAAAGGAACCAATTTTTTTGAAATATATTTACCAAATCATTTTAAAGTTTGTGATAGAATAATGTGATTCTTAGCTAATGGATGCTGGGCTTAATACCTAGGTGACGGGATGATCTGTGCAGCAAACCATCATGGCAAATGTTTACCTGTGTAACAAACCTGCACATGTAATGCTGAACTTGAAATAAAAGTTGGAGGAAAAAAAACGTGATTTTTTAAATTAAGTTCATTCAATAGCAAGATATTTCAGTGAGTCTAGTAGTTACTATAATCTAAAATTACTAATGAGCATAAGCACTATTTTGAGATTGCTCTAATAACTAATATGTTATGCAAATAACTGGAATTTTTATTAGTGCAAAGTTATATATATATATATACATATATATATATACACACACATATATGTACACACACATAGATATGTACACTAATACAATTGTAGTATTTTGCCTACATGCATGCTGAAAAGAGATGCTAAATTTCAAGTAGTCTAAATAAAAATCGGGGGAGTTGGCCAAGATGGCCCACTAGAAAGAGCTGTGGTTGGAGCCTCCCCCTGAGAAGAATGAAAACAGTCAGTGAATTCTGCACCAACAACTGAAGTATTCAGGTTCTCTTGTTGGGACTGAGTAGGCAGTTGGCATGACCCATGGAGAGTGAGGAAAAGCAGAGTGTACTGATGGCCCACCCAGGAGCCACATGGGGCAAGGGGAGCTCCCACCCCCAGCCAGGGGAGGCAGTGAACAACTCTACATGGGAAACCACACTTTTTCCACAGATCTGTGCAACCCACAGATCAGGAGATATCCTCGTGAGCCCATGCCACCAGCACCTTGGATCCCAAGCACAGAGCTCTACAGATTCTCAGTGGTCACTTGGCTGGAGACTGCCTAAGACTACTGAGTTCCCCGGGGGAGGGATGACTGCCATCATTGCAGTTGCCAGCTGCCCGAAATGACTGAGCACCTGGGGGGAAGGGCAGCACCATCACTGAAGCTCCAGTCTGCCATTTTTTCCTGCTGGCACAGGGAGACTGGGTGGTTTGGAACCAAGAGGAATTCCCCACACCACAGCACAGTGGCTGTGGCAGATCGTGGGCAGACTGCCTCTTTAGGCCAGACTCTAATCCATTCCAACTCACTTGGCTTGGCTTACCTGCAGAAACTTCAGCAACTCCAGCCAGGGTTTTGCAGACAGAAGTCTGATCTCCCTGGGACAGGGTTCCTAGAAGGAGTGGCAGCCACAGTCATCACAGATTAATGAACTGAGTCTTTCCCCCTGCTGGGTCTGAAGAATCTAGGCTGTACCGAGCAGTGGGATTACACCCAGCACCAAGGGGCTTCTTTAACCAGAGTGCTTCTTTAAGGTGGTCCCTGATCCCTGCCTCCTGACTGGGTGAGAACTCCCCCAACAGGAGTCTCTAGGCACCTCATACAGGAGTGTTCCTGCTGATATCATGTCAGTGCCAGTCTGAGACAGAGCTCCCAGAGGAAGGAGCAGGCAGCCATCTTTTCTATTGTGCAGCCCTCACTGGTGACACCTCCAGTTGTAGGAGGAACCCATGTGAATAAGTTCTGGAGTGGACCCCCAGTAAACTGCAGCCAGCCTATAGAAGAGTTGTCTGATTGTTAAAAGAAAAGCAAACAGAAAGCAACAACAACAACATCCATAAAGAAAAGTCCCCACAAAAAACCCATCCAAAGGTCAACGGCCTCAAAGATCAAAGCTAGATAAACTCATGCAGATGAGAAAGAATCAATGAAAAAACACTGAAAATTTTAAAAAGCCAGACTGATTTTTCTCCTCCAAATGATCACAACACCTCTCCAGCATGGGCACATTACTGGGTAGAGGCTGAAATGGATGAATTGACAGAAGTAGGCTTCAGAAGGTGAGTGGTAATGAACTTTGCTGAACTAAAACAGCATGTTTTAACCCAGTGCAAAGAATCAAAGAACCATAAAAAAACATTGTAGGAGCTGTTAACCAGAATAACCAGTTTGGAGAGGAACATAAGTGACCTAATGGAGCTGAAAAACACAACACAAGAACTTCACAATGCTATCACAAATATCAATAACCAACTAGACCAAACAGAGGAAAGAATTTCAGATTTTGAAGGCTATCTTGCTGAAATAAGACAGGCAGACAAGATTGGAGAAAAAATAATGAAAAGCAACGAACAAAACTTATAAGAACTATTGAAATATGTAAAAAGACCAAACCTACAACTGATTGGGGCACCTGAAAGAGATTGAAAGAATGGAACAAAATTGGAAAACATACTTTAGAGTATCATCCAGGAGAACTTCCCCAACCTAGCAAGACATGCCAACATTCAAATTCAGGAAATACACAGAATCTCAGAAACCCTACAAGCCAGAAGAGATTGGAGGCCAATATTTAACATTTTTAAAGAAAAGAATTTTCTTTAGGACCAAAATTTCATATTTGGTCAAACAGCTTCATAAACAAAGGAGAATTAAAATCTTTTTCGGTCAAGCAAATGCTGAGGGAATTTGTCAGCACCAAGCCTGCCTTGTAATAGCTCTTGAAGGAAGCACTAAATATGGAAAGGAAAAACCTTTACCAGCCACTACAAAAACACAATGAAGTATAATGACCAGTGACTCTGTGAAGCAACTACATCAGCAAGTCTGCAAAATAACTAGCATTATGATAACCAGATCAAATTCACACATAACAATATTAACCTTTAATGAAAATGGGCTATCCCCCAAGTAAAATACACAGAATGGGAAGGTGGATAAAGAGTCAAGACCCATGGTGTGCTGTATTCAAGAGGCCCATTTCACATGCAAAGACACACATAGGCTCAAAATAAAGGGATGGAGGAAAATTTACCAAGCAAATGGAAAGCAGATAGATGAAATCTATTGCAATCTTAGTTTCTGACCAAACAGACTTTAAACCAAAAAAACAAAAACAAACAAACAGAAAACAAGAAAGACAAAGAAGGGCATAGCATAATGTTAAAGGGATCAATTCAACAAGAACAGCTAATTATCCTAAATATCTATATCTACGTCTATATCCAACCCAGGAGCACAAAGATTCATGAAAGAAATTCATAGAGACTTATAAAGAGACTTAGACTCCCACACAATAATACTTGGAGTCTTTTATATGCCATTGACAATATTAGAGAGATCATTGAGACAGAAAATTAACAATGATATTCAGGACTGGAACTCAGCTCTGGATCAAGTGGACCTGATAGATATCTACAGAACCCTCCACCCAAAAACAACAGAGTATGGATTATTTTTGGTATCACATAGCACTGACTCTAAAATCGACCACATAATTGGAAGTAAAACACTCCTCCACAAATACAGAAGAACTGAAATCATAACAATCCCTCAGACCACAGCACAATCAAATTAGCACTGAAGATTAAGAAATTCACTCAAAACCACACAACTACATGGAAATTGAACAACCTGCTCCTGAATGCCTCCTGGGTACATAATGAAATTGAGATAGAAATGAAGAAGTTCTTTGAAACCAGTATGAACAAATAAACAATGTATCAGAATCTTTGGATGCAGCAGTGTGGAGGGAAATTTATAGCACTAAGTGTCTACATCAAACAGCTAGAAAGATCTCAACTTATCAAACTAACATCTCAACTAAAAGAACTAAGAGAAACAACAGCAAACAAATCCCAAAGCTAACAGAAGACAAGAAATAATCAAGACCAGAGTGAAACTGAAGGAAAAACCCTTGAAGAATTCCCTTTGAAAACCAGCACAAGACAAGGATGCACTCTCTCATCAACATAGTATTGGAAGTTCTGGCCAGGGCAATCAGGCAATAGAAAGAAATGAAAGTATTGAAATTGGAAGAGAGGAAGTCAAACTGTCTCTGTTTGCAGATGACATGATTCTAAATCTAGAAAACCCCATATCTCAGCCTAGAAGCTTCTTAACCTGATGAGCAACTTCATTAATGTCTCAGGGTACAAAAATCAATGTGCAAAAATTGCTACCATCTCCAGACACCAACAACAGGTACGCAGAGAGCCAAATCATTAATGAACTCCCATTTGTAATTGCTAAATAGTAATAAATTTCCTAGGAATACAGCTAACAAGGAAATGAAGGACCTCTTCAAGAAGAACTACAAACCCCACTGCTCAGGGAAATCAGAGAGGACAGAAACAAATGCTCATGGATAGGAAGACTCAATATCATGAAAATGGCCATACTGCCCAAAGTAATTTATAGAATCACTGCTCTTCCCACTAAACTATTACTGACATGCTTCACAGAATTAGAAAAAACTATTCTAAAATTTATGAAATTTATAGAATCAAAAAAGAGCCCAAATAGCCAAGACAATCCTAAGCAAAAAGAACAAAGCTGCAGGCATCATGCTACATGGCTTCAATCTATACTAAAACGTAGCACTAACCAAAACAGCATGGTACTGGTACAAAAACAGACACATGGACCAATGGAACTGAATAGAGAACTCAGAAATAAAACCACCCATCTACAACCATTTGATCTACAACAAACCTGACAAAAACAAGAAATGGGGAAAGGATTCCTGCCCCAAGGCCAAGAGAACCCACCTCTTGCATCAGTAAGACCTGGATGTGAGACTTGGAGTCAAAGGAGATCATTTTAGAACTTTAAGGTTTAATGATTGCCCTATTGGATTTCAGACTTGCTTGGGGCCTGCAGCCCCTTTGTTTTGGCCAATTTCTTCCACTTGCAATGGGTGTGTTTACCCAATGCCTGTACCCCAATTGTATCTGGGTAGTAACTAACTTGCTTTCAGTTTTACAGGCTCATAGGTGGAAGGGACTTGCCTTGTCTCAGATGAGATTTTGGACTTGGAATCTTGGGTTAATGCTGGAATAAGCTAAGACCTTGGGGTACTATTGGAAAGGCATGGTTGTGTTTTGAAATATGAAGACATGAGATTTGGGAGGGGCCATGGGTGGAATGATATGGTTTGGCTTTGTTCCTGCCCAAATCTCATCTCACTGAATTGTAGTTTCCATAATCCCCATGTGTCTTTGGAGGGATCAGGTAGAGATAAGTGAATTATGGGTGTGGTTTCCTTCTTCTATGTTTTTTTCTCATGATAGTGAGTTAGTTCTCATGAGATCTGATGGTTTTATAAGGGGCTTCCCCCTTCACTGGGCACTCATTCTTTTGCTGCTGTCACGTGAAAAATGACATGTTTGCTTCTCCTTCTGTCATTACTGTAAGTTTCCTGAGGCCTCCCCAGCTATGCTGAACTGAGTCAGTTTAACTTTTTTCTTTTACAAATTACTCAGTCTTGGGTATGCCTTTATTAGTAGAATGAGAATGTACTCATACTATTCCCTATTTAATAATTGGTGCTGGAAGAACTGGCTAGCCATATGCAGAAAACTGAAACTGGACCCCTTTCTTACACCTTATCTAATAACTCACTCAAGATGGATTAAACACTTGAATGTAAAACCCAAAACTATAAAAACCCTAGAAGAACATCTAGGCAATACCATTCAGGACATAGGCATGGGCAAAGATTTTATGACAAAAATATAAAAAGCAATTGCAAAAAAAAGCAAAAATTAACAAATGGGATTCAGTTAAACTAAAGAGCTCCTGCACAGCAAAAGAAACTATTATCAGAGTAAACTGACAGTCTACAGAATGGGAGAAACTTTTTGCCATCTAACCACCTGACAAAAGTCTATTATCCACAATCTACAAGGAACTTAAACAAATTTACAAGAAAACAACCCCATTAAAAAGTGGGCAAAGAACATGAACAGACACTTCTCAAAAGAACATATACACACAGCCAACAAACATATGGAAGCAAGCTTAACATCACTGATTATTAGAGAAATGCAAATCAAAACCACAATGAGATACCAACTCACATCAGTCAGAATGGCAGTTATTAAAAGTCAGGTAACAACAGATGATGGGAAGGCTGCAGAGAAAAAGCAATGTTTTTACACTGTTGGTGGGAATGTAAATTATTTCAACTTTTGTGGAAGACAATGTGGCTATTCCTCAGAGACCTAGAACCAGAAATATCATTTGACCCAGCAATCCCATTACTGGGTACATACCCATGGGAGTATAAATTGTTCTATTATAAAGATGGATGCACGCATATGTGCACTGCAGCACTATTCACAATATTAACGACATGGAGTCAACACAAATGCTCATCAATGATAGACTGGTTAAAGAAAATGTGGTACATGTACATCATGGAATACTATGTAGCCATAAAAAGGAACAAGATCATGTTTTTTGCAGAGACATAGATGGAAGCTGTTATCCTCAGCAAACTAATGCAGGAACAGAAAACCAAATAGTGCAAGTTCTCACTTATAAGTTGGAGCTGAATGATGAGAACACTTGGATAGAGTTGGGGGAGGACACCACACAGTGGGTTCTGCTGGGGAGTGTGGAGGGAGGGAAAGCATCAGAAAAATCGCTAATGGGTGCTGGGCTTAATATTTTGGTGATGGGATGACCTGTGCAGGAAACCACTATAGCACATGTTTACTCATGTAACAAACCTGCATACTCCACACAGGTACCCCTGAACTTAAAATAAAACCAAATAAAATTAAAATCTAATTTTTCCC